AGCTCGAAGCTGCCGATGATGAGATCAAAGAGCAGAAATGGAGGTTATTTTTGCGTTTTTGCATCCCTTATCGCCCTCTTTCCTCATTTTCAAACAGTTTCTGTTAGGCGAAAATTCTTCATTTCTTCGGAAGTTACTTTTTTTGTTTGTTAGGCTACTGACGGAGGAAGAATTGGAGTTGGTAACATTGGAATTGTATGAGCGAGGCTCATACAGTCCATCATATGGCGATGAGAAGGAAACAATGCCCGGTATTGAGATCCTCGATGAATTGGAAGACGCGAAGAAGCGTAAAGAAATGATGGATGAAGCTGATAACGCTGCAGTAGCATCATCATCACTGGGCTTATCGGTAAGTTAGCTTAATTCAACATTAGGACGCAAAAAACCTTTGATGAATCGAGACGTGCCGAAAGATTGTTTTATTGAGTTTTTTTTTTAAAACGAATGAAGAGAATTCGAGAAAAATTGAGTTTTTCTAATTCGATTTTCCAGAGACTGAATTTTTTTTTTTGTTTTTTGCATTTTCAACAAAAACGAATTTTCAGTTGGCTGAGAAGGAAATGGAGCTGATAGCCCGAAAAGGCATGACAGATGATGAAGCAACATTTTCGGTAGAAGCACCACTGGAAGCTCAGACTTTTTTGTGGTCTGAAAAATATCGACCACGAAAACCAAGGTTTCTTGCCCTTCGTTTCCCGGTTTTTTTTAACGTCGTTAAACTCGACTGGCAAAAAAGCAGCATTTTAACGAGCGGATATTTACGTATGCTCGAATCAATCGTGATTTGTAGTTTTATTTTCCTGTTGTATGGCTCAACTGCATTCATTATACCGCATTTTTAGCGGCATATGTACGAGTCAGTGGAAACGAGGGGGAGGGATCCATTTGTGTTTTGCTGGGAATGAGTGGCGAAAAATTTCTAATTTTTGGCTGATGCGCTGTTGCTCATTATTTCAAACACTGTTGGATTTCAGATACTTCAATCGTGTTCATACGGGCTTCGAATGGAATAAGTACAATCAAACTCATTACGACATGGATAATCCACCACCGAAAATTGTTCAGGGATATCGGTTTAATGTAAGTTTGCCTCTTCTCACGTCTGCGCTTAGCTATTTCAGCAACAAATCTGTTGTGCTGTATAAGAGTGGTGAGAAATTTCGAATTTGTCCGATGATGAGGGACTTTCCTGGTCCATAGTATGTCTGGCTTCATCTAATTGGGCAATTAATGCTTTTTGCTGAAGAGTGTCTGATCAGTAAAGCATCCACTTCTATCTTCCTGCCCTCCTCCACGTAACGCCGGGTTTTTTTCGTTTTTTTTTTTCATATTTTCTGTCTTTTTTATTAGTGTTTCCTGGGTAAAAATCCTGAAAAATTTGTTTTATAGCTACTTCTTGTGGTGTTTATATTCCAAAAACACATACAAATGACGAGGACGCATTTTGATTTAAAAAAAAAAAAAAAAAAAATGTTGATTTTGGTAAATTTTAGATTTTCTACCCAGATTTACTGGACGTAACGCAAACACCAACATTCACAGTAACGCCATGTGATGATCCGGATTTCGCTGTGATACGATTTCATGCTGGGCCCCCGTATGAGGATATTGCATTCAAATGTGTGAACAGGGAATGGGAGATTAGCCATAAACATGGCTACAAGTGCCAGTTTGCTAACGGCATCTTTCAGCTATGGTTTTTCTTCAAAAGATACCGCTACAGGCGATAATTCCTCGTCTTTCTT